ATTACTTTTCCACCAGTACCTCTTGGCCAAACTCCCTTCCAAGACATCTCCAGGTCAATTCTCTTCCTTGGGTCCATTTGAGTCATGGGGAATTTCATAGCATTGCCTTCCAGCACCCCCAGTTCTCTGAACCCTGGTGCCGGAGAACCTCTGCCAAACCCAGATATGGCTCAGAACCCAGCATGATTGCTGTACCTCCAACTCCGGCCTCCTGTTCCCTACAGTGTGTGGATGGGGCTGAGGGGGGAATCACACCACACACAAACCTGCCTACCAACATATCCGTTGTCTCTTGAATTTCTAAACTCAATCTCTTTATACCCAACAGAGAGCTGGTAGGCTAAGAGTCAGGACCCTAGTGTTAGGCCAGGCTGTGCAAGTTCTGCACCGAAGTTTGGTTTCCGAGTGTGGAGTGTGAGAGCTCACAGTTGTTCTTTTGTCCTTGTATTTTGGCATCTCAGCTAAAAGAGACTCAGAGCATCCCCTTGCAACCTCCAGTCATAGATAACTACACGGGTAGCTGCTTGGAAACTCATTCAACACGGCTCAGATAATCTTGGAGGTCTAGATTTACTGGAACTCAGTCTCCAGGGTCCCAGATCACAGACATCTGGTAACTCCAGAGTCACAATTGGAGCTTATTGAGACATAAATACCGAGAAGATGGGGACTTCATCTTGGCAGTCCAAAACAAGGTGAAATTCTGTCGTCTGTTCCCTTCCCTCTGGTTTGCAATCACATCAAAATCAAAATTCCAGGTATGAAGCATCCGAGTTTCCGTGACATCCAGTGGTCTGCGGCTACTGCTAACTGTTCCCTTGCGAGGAAGTAAAACTTCATTGCCACAGGCAGGTGGATATGAGGTGCCTGCAGAGGCTTTTGTGGTGTACCAGCATGCCAGAGAGCTGAGGTCTGCTTCCTGAGTTAGTAATAGCGCACAGGTTCACGTGAACAAACTGAATCACAGTTACCAAATGCTGTTGCAGAGTGGGACATCTCAACCTAAATAAGTAGTAAGCATACCCACTGTCGGATCAGCATCTAATTCATGCCACCACCCTGACCACTGAGCATCCCTCAATGGTGTCGTACAGCATATGATGGGATGAGAGATAGGATCTGTAGCCATCGCCAGGTCATTCGAATCCCTTTATATGTGAGGAATGTCACACTGACATTTGTTCAAGGTCACAAAGCTATTTAATAATGGAAAAAAGGCCAGACTCTCAGTTGAGCACTCTTTCGCCACCTCATCCTGGACACATGGGAAAAGGAACCCTTGCTTCTCAATAACCTTTGGTCCACCTTTCCCTAGAAGACTCTCCAAAACCTGAAGCCTTTTTCTGGTTGTCAGTGAAGCCCAGATTCTATTTGACTCCTCTCTCCTGGAGAACAGTCCCTTTATCCCACCCTAAACTCCTCCCAGGAAACGTTAGATTACATACAAATGCTTTTGCATGGACCAGACCCATAATTCACTATTTCTAGGGTCTCCTGATGTTTGCAAAATTCTATGTATTGTGCTTTCACGCAAAAAGGCCTAACCTATCCTGGAAACATGAAAATAGAATCTTTCCAAGTGCCATATCATGGAAGCCCCAACTAGGACAAATGGATGTCTTTGAGTATAAAAGGGCAAGAGAAAACCAAACCCACCCCTTCCAGTGTTCAGCATATTTCTGGCTCCTTTCTGGATGAATGTGCCTACTTCTGTGCAGAATGGAAAGAGCTTGTGGGTTAGAGGTGACCGTGAATGTGAATGGGAAGAAACAGAGCTTTCTATCCCTGGATTGCATATTGCTGTTCCATATGGGGGTTGAGCCAAAACATATGGTATCCCATCTGCAAGACGGAGCTGGCTGGGTCTCATGAATGGCTTTTAATGCAAGTAGATTCAGCCTGATTTGGTCTGCCTCCAAAGGAAAAGAAAAGCCAGTGATTCAAATATTGTGTAAAACCATTGAAATTAATGGCACAAAACAAGACTCATCTGTATTCTGCCTAATTTAAAAGATGTCTGTGTGGTGTAAAGTAATGAATTAGTTATGGGGGTGTTTGGACTGAGCATCCGATAGCTCCTTCAGAGAACAAAATGCCTTTTTCCCACTTCTTTCAAGCCACTCTCTGTTAAGTTGTTTGGAACCATTCTCCCAGGAAATCCACTAGGCACTTTGGCTTCTCTAATGGGCCAGACTTCAAGAGATTCATAACACCAGGCACAGCTGCTCACTCCTTCATGCCCCACCCCATCAATGGTGGGAGAGGAAACCCAAGAAAGTGTTCTTTTTTTAAATTTACCTAATGGAGCCCTCTTGTGAGTGGGAAACCAGTTCATGCCCTAGCAGAAAACCATAAACCTCCAAGGACCCCTCGTCATCCACAGATCTTACCCTTCCCGAATGCAGTGAGGGAGTGAGCTGGGAGTTCATCTTTGAGTGACAGCACTGTGCTTCCATATAACACATTTCACTGAAAGGCCATGTGCAGCGCCAACTTAACAGGCCACTGAACTACACTGTGAACATAACTACACTCGCTAATGAGTGGTGATGAGCATGGCAGCTGTGGTAATTGAATGCAGTGAGACCCAGATCTACATTTGAAGTGTCCGATTCCATTCTTGCAATGTCCTTAGGAACTCAGCACCATGCACTCCACTTTATGGAAGAAGATGCTGAAATTCAAAGTCGTCAAAAATCACAGAGCTAGGCAGGATGTAAACTCTGATGAGCCTGCCCCAAAGCCCATGCTGGGATCGAAAGGAAAAGATGGCTCAGTTTCCCTGGTGCACACCCACCAGAACTGCCTCATTCCTCCTCAGGACAGGCTGGGCTGTTGTGAGATTTACTAGTGAGCCCATATGGGCCAGCAGAAAACAGTTACCCCAGTCTTACTCAAAGCAAAGGATGGGACTCCACCCCAAACCCAATGTCATTGGTCCCAACAGGACCAGAACTTCTCAAGAAGATGGTCTTCACACTGCATCCCTAATGGCTTGTGGTAGGACTCAGACCAGTATACCGATGTCCTAAAACCCCACACCAGGCCAGATTACACAGCACCCCAACCTGCCAATCTTCTCCGAAGGGCGGATGCTGCTGCTCCTTAGGTTCCGTCACTGGTTGTTTACTTGCATGGTGTTGAGACCTACTTCAGCAACCTGTTTCCACCAATGAAACTGGCAAACAGAAGCCCTCCCTGTGAAGGGGCCGCGATCTCCAGGATTCCTCCTCCTGAAAACAAACACTTAAGACTCTGAGGAAGTTCAGGACTCCTACCATCATTACCAGAAAGCCACTGTTTTAGAACCATGTTCACCTTGCATCTGAAAAGATTCCGGTAGACTCAGTCACGGCCACCTATTCCTCAGCTTCTTATGGGACAGCAGAGCTGTTTTGGAAAGCCACCGTGCCTGCTGTTAAAAATTACCTTCATAAGGGCACATGTTAAATCAAGCATAGCATCCAGGAGTGGAAGGGAGCTTCAGGCCTGCATCACTTCTAAGAGGCAGTGCTATTGGAACCTTTGGTCGGGCATGGTCTTTCTTCCACGGCAGACCACATGGTGTATGTAAGGCGGTTGTGCCTCACTTACTGCTGAATTTGAAGGAGGTCGTGGAAAGCTTTTTGTGTGCTGCTTTCTAGATGGGGTGGGAAAGTAGAAGGGTGTTGAAGGATGAGTTAGCATTCCAGTGTCCATTCTGAGTAAAATAATAAACCAGAGGGGCCGGAGAAATGGCTCAGTCAGTAAGTGCTTGTCACATGAGCATGCGGACGTCAGTTCAGACCGCCGGACATACAACTCAGAAATTACTTAAAGGTGGGCAAGGTGGTACAAGTCTGTAATTCTAGCACTGAGGGGTGAGGGTGAAGTCAAGGTTATTACTGGTATTCGCCAGCAAGCCAGTCTAAATCAGTGGTTCTCAGCCTGTGACCCTTTGAGGGTCACGAATCAGATATCCTGCATATCAGAATTTACATTATGATTCGTAACAGTAGATTACAGTTATGAAGTAGCAATGAAATAATATTATGGTTGAGGGTCACCACAACACGAGGAACTGTATTAAAGAGTCACAGCATCAGGAAGGTTGAGACCCACCAGGCTAGACGAATCAACAAGTCCCACACTGAATGAGAAACCGTCTCTCAAAAACACGAGGTGGAGAGCAATTAAGGTGGGGAGACACCTGACACCAACCTCTGCATGACGTGAACATAAACATGTGCACACGCATGGAATAGTGAACAAGCCATGAGAGCTGAGCATGATGGTGCAGGCCTGTAACCCAGCACGCAGGAGGCTGAGGCAGGAGGATGACAAGTTTGAAGCTAGCCTGAGCTGCACAGTGAGACCCTGCCTCAGAAATTCCAAAAGGAAAAACAAAGAATGAACTGGATTCCTTGGGAAAGTGAACCAGGGATATTCTTATATTCTTGGCTAGAAAACTCTGTGTGTGTGTGTGTGTGTGTGTGTGTGTGTGTGTGTGTGTGTGTGTGTGTGTTCTTTCTTCATTTTGTCACTCGGTATGAGGCTTAGCACAATTTATTTCAGGTTCCCCTGTATCAGATCACGTGTGTCACAGTTCTCCATGGAGGAGTAATTTGTCAGTGACTGACCCAGCAAGTGCCAATGTGGGCGAGTCTCTTAGGCATAGATGTAACAGTAAAGAAGCAATGTGATGTAGGAGATACAGTACCAGGCTGATCCCAGCAAGAGGGCCTGGCTGCCCACGCTCAGAGCCATCTCTTTCTTTTAAAAGAAAATTTGCTTCAGAAAGCCCACATCTGTGGCAATTTACCCTATGCTGAGACACTGACCATGGTCTGCTTACCCTTCCAGGGATGAGAGGCCAAACAGTATCCTCTGATACTTGTTTCTTCTGGTCACACTCTGCCCCTGCCCCATCCAAGTCTGTACCCTCCCCCAAATCCCTAGCTAAGACAAGCTTCTCCCCACTTCTCCAATGTCCAATTTACAAATAAGCCCAGGGCTCCACCTCCTGAAGAAAAGGACTTTATTGTAATATGTGCAGCAGGCATGAATCATAGTCCTCGATGTCCTGTGCCAGTCCCAAAGATTGCCTCATTGCATCAGAAGTCAAGTTTATTTCAGTGTGAGGCCATCATTTCACTGTAAGAATATAAAAGTCCAACTGAGTCAGTGCAGAATTCTTCCACCTCCTCAGGGATGTGCCCAATCATAGGGACTACATGATGCCAGTGTGTAGTAGTGGGGATACCATCTTGTCCTTGAAGCCAACCATCAACCCAGGCATGCACATAAACACACATACTAAAATAAAACCAAATCTTTTCTAAGCTGCTAGCTGCCTGGGATTCCTGGCCCTCCTGAAAATGCAGTCAGAGCCAGGCAAGCTTTGCCAGGTGCTGTGGGTTGAAACCGTTCATGGCCGCTGCAGGATCGGGATGACCTCGGGCATGCAGCAGCCATAGCAGGAGTTATCAGGGATTTAGACTGTTCACATCTCTTAAAAACCTGGTGCCACACTAGAGGACCCAGCAGCCCAGGTGATGAACTGACTTCCACTCAGTTTCAGGAAGGTGGTCCAAGCTTAGGCCAGCTGTAAACAAGGAAGTTATGGTCATGGTAGGGATAGCCAGGGCCCCACCCTAGTATGCAAAATGAGAGTTGGAAAGGGGACATGAATGTCCATGTACATGCATTTGTACCTGCATGCACATACACACACACACACACACACACACACACACACACACACACACACACACACACACACACATTGCATAGTAGTGCTGCCCTTCTCTGAGTGTTTAGCCACCTGTCTTCTGAGAAACCCCGAATCCTTGCCCCTGGTACCTTCCTCTCCACATACACAGGACAGGCACTCCAAGGCGCTTGGGGTCCCTCTGTCAACTTGGGGAGTTGGAGTATGGCTGCTGTCACTGATAAGGCATTTTTCTGTTTCAGTCGTGACCTCCCAGGTGTGAGTGTTAAAAACTCATACAGGAGAACCACCTCGCAGGGCCCCGGAGAGAAGGGGGAAGCTGGCCAGAGTCGTGCAGAGAGTGGGTTTGGGGGGCAGTCTAGGTTCAGATGGCAGCTGTGACTCAGAATCTAGCAGTATGATCCACACTGCTCAGAAGGTCCCTCTGGTCTGTGTACGTGAAGAGATGCCTTGTGATGGCCAGTCTTCACTGTCAATTTGACTGATTTAGATTCACCTAGAGGATAGATACATCTACAGGCATGTCTAAGGTGGCATTTCCAGAGAGGTTAACTGAAAAGGAATGACCCATCATGGATGTGGGCGGTACCATTCCCATGAGCAGGGGTCCTAGACTGAATACAAAGGAGGGTATCAGATGAACATCAGTGTTCTCTCTCTCTCTCTCTCTCTCTCTCTCTCTCTCTCTCTCTCTCTCCTTCCTGACTATGGACACAATGTGACCAACAACCATAAGCCCCTGCTGGTATGCCTTCCTGCCCTAGTTGGCTGAATCCCTTTTGAAACAAGGAACCACAAGTATCTTTCTTCTCTTAAGCTGCTTTTGTGGGGTATTTCATCATCACAATGAGAAAAGTAACTAATATATGTCCATGGGGACTGGAGAGGGAGGTTTGTATGAATTGCTCGTTTATGTAAAACCCTTCGTGAAGTGTCCAGCACACAGTGAGAGCTAAGAGCTCAGAGAACCCAGCTACTTGTGTCTTTACAACCAACAGCCCCACCCTGCCCCCTTATTTTGTCCCTGCCAAGGCAAGCAAAGCCAAGGAGCAACCCCCTCACCCTCCCTCTTCTCTGAGGAGAGACTTAGCTGCCATACTCATATTCCCAGGGATGTGTTGTTTCTGACCTAACACAATGGTCCTCAAAGTGTCCAGGATCTGTGGAGTTGAAGAGAGAGGGGTCAGGAGAGGAGTGACAACCTGAGATGAGCACTTGGACACACTTCTCATTCTTCTTAACCAGTGGCTGCTTCACTCTGCAAGAGTGGCATGTTCTGGGTCACTTGGGTAAGCATCAGAGGCCCCTCTACCTAGCAAAACCTCTTCCCTACCCGCCCCATACTCCTTTTCTCTGTGTGACAGCCTGAAGGTCAGACCTCCCCTCCATTCAAAGCAGACTTGGGATCTCTGCCTACAGAGGTCAAGGCCACTGACATGCCCAGAGATTTGTGGAGGCACCCACCCATTCCACAAGTGACCTTATCTCTGATATCCAGTGTTCCCTTTTCCCTAGACTGGCTGTTGCTGGCAGACTGAGAGCCCAGTCCCTTCTGCAGGCTCTGTGGGTGCAGGATGTTTCTCACCTTCCCCTCTATTCTAGCCAGGGATAAACACAAAACAATCTCATGGAAGTTACCAGCAACCGCTGGGTCCTCCCACTCCCCTTCCAGGCCAAGGAGCAGTAGTCTGATGGAGATTATCTGCTCGGATTTAATGAGAGTCACTGTGAAAACTGCATTCTGAGAAAATGGAAAACATCACATCAAAATGAAGATGGAGAAGAAAAGAAGACCCCTCCAATTAGTGTCTCTAACACGGCCTCATTATGCACCTGATCCTGACGCTTGTTAGTGCTACTGGATTGGAACTGTAAAAGTGTCTTTTGAACGGCTGATTGACATTTGCCATAGCCACACCCTCCCATTCTCTTACCCCCTAAAATCTAAGTACTTACCATGACAACTGAGATTAGGAAGAAGGAATCAAGAGGGGCAACCAGTCAACTCCAGGCAAAGGACAGACCGGCCCCAGAGTGGGAGCCAGGAGGAGGACAGGGCCGCTGAACATTATTGCTCCTTGTGAATGGCCCTCCTCTTCCACAAAGGGTGTGATTTCCTTTTTAGGGAACATTTAATAAGATACAGAAGCCAGATTTGGTTGGGCTGAATGCGAATTGCCATGGCAACCTGCCTTTGGAGGTTACCCAAGTCAGGTAGTGACAGCAAAGCTGAGACAAAGGTCACCCCTACTGAGAAAGATGGCCATTGATAAAGCATTTTAACAAGACCCAGCGGAGCTGGTATTTGAAAGCTGCCTTCCGAGGATCAACTAGGTGCTAGGCCTAAGAGACAAAAAACATCAAGGAGAGAGTGGGGGTCCAGCAGGGGATCCCACCAGAACCTGGGGCAGCCTGGAACTGTCAAGAACCTCGCCCTCCACCAAACTCTCAGAAAGGAAGCCATCCTTAATTGCTCCAGGGAAGGATAAACAAGCTTTTTAAACAGGTATGTGGATGGGAAAGACACACACCTGGACCACTGTGTATCCAAGAAATGCATACCTGAAAAGTTGTGAACAGGCTACATGGTTGCAGATGGAGTCACCTTGGCCGCTGTTGCTTCAGAGATGCGGATGTAACTTCTATCCAGTTAGAAAGTTACCTTGACACACTGGTGCTGAGAAAATGTTTCTTTGCATGATGCTAAAGCCAGAAATCTTCAAGAAAAGCCCATAAATATAAATATGTGTGACCAGTCCCTAGAAAAAGAAAAAAAAATTTAAATATGAAAAATGGCCAACTTCCTCCACAAATAAGGAGATGTGTATTTCAGTAACAAATAAATAGGCATGCCTTCAAATAATTATAGTTTTGTTTATCATATATGCAAAGGTCTAGAAGTATGGTATAGCACTGAAAGCCAATGGGGTGGGCCTATGAAGAAACAGGAACATTCATATATTCATGGCCAGACAGTAAACTGGTGCCGTTATACTGGGTCACAATTTGCAAATATCTATCAATTTTGTTGTTTTGGTTTTTTTTTCAGACAGTCTCACTGTGTAGGCCTGCCTTCCTGGAACTCACTATGTAGATCAGGCTGCCTTCAAACTCACAGTGATCTGCCTGTCTCTGCCTCCTGAGTGTTAGAACTACAGGCATATGCCACCACACCGAGCAATCATTTTTAAATGATCATTCTTTAAACTGGAAATTCCACTTCTACATATCTTCCTTCACACAAACATCAGTGGAAACAGATGGTCATTGCAGCGTTGTTAACAAAAGAGTAGAATGGTGTAAAGGTCCATGAACAGGAGAGCAATTGAAGAAACAGTGTAATGTTCATAAAAAGGAATAGCTGTTACAAAGAGTAAGATTTGTAGGTGCTGATATAAACGATCTCCCTGGCATATTAAACACAAAAACAAGTATAGAATCATGGGCACTGTGTGTCCACTTAAGCCTCCATGCCCCCACCCAACGTGTGTGTGTGTGTGTGTGTGTGTGTGTGTGTGTGTGTGTGTGTGTGTGTACATATCAGTGTGAAGGCCAAAGAACTACCTTGGATGTCATCACTCAGGTGCCTCCTGTGAGGCGGAAGTCTCTTACTGGCCTAAAATTCAATGTGTAAGATAGGCTGGCTAGATGGCAGGTCCTACCCAGCTCAGCCTGCCCAGTGTTGGGTTCATAAATGTACACTCCCACACCCAACTTTTTTACATGAGTCCTGAGGATTAGAATCAGGTCCTTGTGCCTGCAAGATAGTGATTTACTGACCGAACTACCTCCCCAGGTCTCCTACCTATGTTCTTCTATGATTAAAAAAGTGTACACTTAGATATATAATTTTACAGTTTAAGGGGTTAAAGTGGACTGGGCTGAGAATTAGGCACAATTTGATTCATACAGTGGGCATTGGTGGTAGCTCTTTCTCTCCCAACCGAACCTCAGTTTTGTTCAGGAGGGCATTACTCCCTTCAGTACCCCATGTGACTCCAGGGACATGCAGTGACCCAGTTCTTCTGGGAAGCCAATATATCTCAATATGCTGATCATCAAAAGTAGCTATGGAGCCCCTGTTATGATTTCTATGTAAAATGTCCCCCACAGATTTATGTGTTCAAACAAATGGTCCCCAGGTGGTAGTCCTGTTTTGGGAGACTGTGGAACCTTTAGGAGGTGGGACTTAATTAGAATAAATAGGTCTCTGGAGAACAGACCTTATGGGTTATAGACCACCCTGGCCTTCTAAGGCCAACAGCAAGGTAACCAGACACCTCATGCTACTGCTACACCAGCTGAGAACTACCCATGGCTATGTATTTCCTGCCCATGATGGACTGTATCCCCTGATCCATGAACTGGAATCAATCTTTCCTTCCCTGCATTGTTTCTGTCAGGTGTTCTATCACAGTGACACACAAAGTAATTCATACAGTGTTTCTGATGAGTATGTTTGAGACATGGCTCTGAGTTCATCTCAAAGGACTGGTATTGATAGCCTAGGACCACTCTCCAAAGATCACTGACAAAATCTGAGTATAGAAACACTCTCCTATTTGCTGAAATGGTTTCATAGGTAAGATGCTTGCACCCTTTGAGACATGTGAGATGTATGATGGGAACTTGGCAGAAATTTTTCTTAACAGTCACAAGTCAAATAAGACATCTCTCTCTCCCTCCTTTGCCTCTGAGCATGAGCAAGGGAGAACGAAGTATGACCATCACTGGCAGGCAGCCTCTAACCACAAATAGCATCGGCTTTCAGATGTCGCTAATCTGAAACATGGAAGCATCCAAGACTTTGGCCCATTGGCCAGTTGACATCTTTTTTTGTGAACTAACACATTTGGTGAGGGTCTAAGTGCCTCTGTGTTGTGAGTTCTGCTATTGGCAGACAAGTGCAAGCTAACCTGTAAAAACATAGTAAGAACTATTTTCAGATAGTTAAAGCTCAAAAACATTTTCAACCAGGCAGTGGTGACTCACACCTTTAATCCCAGCACTCAGGAGGCAGAGGCAGGCAGATCTCTGAATTCAAGGCCAGCCTGGTCTACAGAGTGAGTTCCAGGACAGCCAGGGCTATACAGAAGAAACCCTGTCTTGGAAAACCAAAGGGAAAGAGAGAAAGAAAGAAAGAGAGAGAGAGAGAGAGAGAGAGAGAGAGAGGAGGGAGGGAGGGAAAGGAAGGAAGGAAGGAAGGAAGGAAGGAAGGAAGGAAGGAAGGAAGGAAGGAAGGAAGTGTTGCTAGAGTTTTCCTGCCTGGCCCACAGTCAGGACAAATCTCTCTCACCTGCCAGTCCCACAGCCACTCAGACCTGACCAAGTAAACACAGAGACTTATATTGGTTACAAACTGTATGGCCGTGGCAGGCTTCTTGCTAACTGTTCTTACATCTTAAATTAATCCATTTCTATTAATCTATACCTTGCCACGTGGCTTGTGGCTTACCGGTACTTTACATCTTCCTTGTCCTGATGGCGGCTGGCAGTGTCTCCCTCACCCAGCTTCCTGTTCTCTCCATTCTCCTCTCTGTTAGTCCCGCCTATACTTCCTGCCTGGCCACTGACCAATCAGTAATTTATTCATTGACCAATCAGCAACACATTTGACATATAGACCATCCCACAGCACTTCCCCTTTTCTTTTCTTAAAAAGGAAGGTTTTAACCTTTACACATCTCCAAAGTCAGCTTGGTATATTTGGGAATTTGGGCGTAGCTTCTCTTACTACTTCCTGCTGGAGGGGGGGTGCTGTATCTTATGGGGACACAAAGAAATATTTTAGGGTTATGGAGTAGTCCATGAGGGTGTATCGTCTGAGCCAGTTGCCTTGAAACGGTTCTGGATGTTGGATCATCTGGGCCATGGTGTCATCAGAGACCTTTCAGGGGGTCTTGGCTGGTCAAACCTGATGTATCTTAATCTGGAACAAATCCATAGCCTCTGGCTTTCTGTGAAAACAAAAGCAGAGCCTCCTTTCCAAAGCAACATATCCTTACATCCAAATTTTGAAGTCAAGGTACCTTTAAAATATACATTTTGACATAACTCAACAGCTTTTGCAATCAAATGTTTTTCTTCAGTTTCGAATATCAAAGAGAACATAATCCAGATTCTCTGTGTGGTAGCCATCTTTATGTGGCTTATTTTTTATATTAATTTTACTGTCTCTTTAAAGACTTTTTTTAAACTATGTATTTGTTTATATAACTTTATATATCATCTTTTTTGTCTCTTTCAAGCCTACGTATCTTTTACACACATTGTAAACTATTACATCTGAATCTGTCTTATTGTGAATCTGCAGCAGCTGTGGCTGCTGGCTCCGCCCACCTCAGCTTCCCAACATGGCAGTAGTTTACCACCAGCTCTGGGAGCTATCCTGGGTCTATGCTTTTATCCAAGCAGTGTGTAGTCCAGAAATCTCTTTTTTTGTTTTTTTGGTTTTTTGTTTTGTACTAGCAAAGGCTAAATCCACCACACAGCTTAATGTGCCACTTGCAGAGGCCTCATTCCCACCATACTGTAGGTCGAGCATGCACGCTAGGAACCCACCAGTAGCTCAAACCGGCAGCTGCCGCTCATTTGAGAGAGACAATTGGGAAGCTGTTTTTAGCTCCGTTTTAGAATCTTTTTTCTCAGTTTTTAGATGGAAACTCTTGCCACCACATTGGACGCCATTTGTAGCTAGAGTTTTCCTGCCTTGCCCACAGTCAGGACAAATCTTTGTCACCCACCAGCCCCACAGCCTCTCAGACCCGACCAAGTAAACACAGAGACTTTTATTGCTTACAAACTGTATGGCCATGGCAGGCTTCTTGCTAACTGTTCTTACAGCTTAAATTAATCCATTTCCATAAATCTATACCTTGCCACATGGCTCGTGGCTTACCGGCATCTTCACATGCGGCTTGTCATGGTGGCGGCTGGCAGTGTCTCCCTCACCCAGCTTCCTGTTCCCTCCTTGTCCCGCCTATACTTCCTGCCTGGCCACGGGCCAATCAGTGATTTATTTATTGACCAATCAGCAACACATTTGACATACAGACCATCCCACAGCACTTCAGACCATCCCACAGCACTTATGT